GTGTAATAATTACTGAGACTACATTTGTTATATCTGTAAACCACGTGATATAGCTGAGTTGCACAGGTCATTAAATTGTTGAGTTGAAAACCATCCGATCTGTATGATGATGTCATGTGTTGGTTTTGAAGTATACAAATTTTTGGAGCCCCCCCTCCTAGCGCAACAATTTTTTCAGAGCCCCCCCCTTCGGGTGTCTAAAAATTTTCGGAGCCCCCCCTCAATATCTTCATCCCCCCCCCCTTGTCATATTAAATGAACTTTCCCTAATTATTTGTTACAAGCTAGAGTCGATCAAATTTGGAAGATACTTTCCGATATCCTGAAAGATGAGTCACCTTTACGAACAAAGATAGGTTTTCACTGTCGCGTAATTTTTTCGTGCGTAAACATCCCTTCATATCGTGAAACTCCTGAGGAACAGATAAATGTTGTAAGACGGAACTCTCAATAGATGGAGCCCGAGGTAAACATATTTTGAAGTTGGAAATATTTTAAATTAATACAAAAGCAATTACTGGGTTCGGCTTTTCTATGATGTAAGAAACTAGTTATGCAGGTCTCAGATCTGCGCATAACTCTTCATGATCATATTCGGCTTTATGCAATAATTTCTAATTAGGTTGTACAAAATTTTATTTTTTCCTCGACTTGGTATAATTGGACAGACTACGTGACGTCACAATTATACGAACTCATACTCTACTCTTGTGTAGTTCTACTTAGATCAGGTAGGTATAATAATTCTTATGCAAGGCGTTCATTTCTAATTTTCTTTACTTTAGTTTCCAAGTGTGAACCATCAAATGTAATACAGGTCAATACAGCGTTAGGCTAATTACGCAATAGATGAATCCGGATTAGCCGTTGCTAAAATTTGAACAGTAATAAAAATTGTAGCAAAGTCATGAGTCTTATGACTTTTTCAAGATTTGATGCAGATCAGGCTCAACACAATGGAGACCATGCAAACCCTTTTTTATTGAATCAAACTGCCTTCCTTTGCAGTCTTTGTTCTTTCAACAGTTAAGCTGTTTAAAAAGCTCCTAAAAGTCTTCTCGATAAGTTTGCGAAAATCAATACAAAATATCATTATAAAAGGCAATTATCTGCAAAAGAATGTTTCTCTTTCAAATTCTCCAGAACTGAAAAAATGAAAAAATCTTTTACTAGAATTGGTGTGTCTATTTGGAATTCTATTCCACTTTCTGTTAAGACTCTCAACATATCTAATTTTCGCAAAAAAAATTAAATCACTACACCTTAATGTTCTAGGTAATGAAGATAATTATTTGAATGGTAATTATTTAATAAAATATTTTGTGAAGTTAACCTGATAAGTTGTATATACCTCCAGTTGTAATTTTAGTCTTTTTCAAATAACAAAATCCCCTGTACTTGAAGTTATATGTAAGGTGTTTCTTTCTGTATGTTTTTGTATTTCTTTTCTTTCTTTTTTCTTATGCAATTTAATAACGTCTTTATTAAAAGTCTTGTCCTGCCTAGATTAGCGGCATTATAGCTCATTGCAGGACATAAAGTATTGTAAACTTTATATTTCTTTAAACAAATACATTGTTGTTGTTGTTGTTGTTGTTGTTGTTGTAATGGGGAAAATACCGTGATCTGAGGAGATAATTGAGTGAAAATTAAGAACAAAAACCTCAATTGATACAAAACCCGCAAAACCGCATAATTTTGGCTCAGAAACGGAAAAAAACGAGTCATGATAAACAAAAACCGCAAAAAGTAAACCTCAAAATTGCCACTTTTTGACAAAGAGGGTATAAATATCCTTCCAGAATTAAAAATATTTCTTTTCAGTGTTCTCAGACACCTTTTTTTAAGAAAGGAGGAATTTTTCGTAAATATTTGACATAAGTGCATTCCTGCTGACTCATGAAAACACAGCCAGAAGGTTATGGTATACTTAACACATTAGCAAACAGTAATTACGACAATTGAAATGCAAATTTCTTGAAAAATGATGATAAAGACATATTCCCTGCCATTCGGTTATTTACCTTTTTAATAGGCCTCTTAGCTGCTCTTTACCAAGGCTAAGCAAGCTAGTTAATAAGATCTCTAAAGAACTTACTCCTTACGTTATTTCCATAGAATAAGAAGCGGTTGACAGTCAAGGCAGGAATATACGATGAACAAATCATCCCACTCTACCCAACTCATGAGTAAGGGCAGAACTTCAAATAACATGCAGTTAGCCGAACTGTTGGTATGGTGCTCGCTAAATGGTTTTGTGGCCATCCTAGCGGTTCTTGGTAACTCGTTCGTCATAGCAGCATTCATGCGTTTCAAAAAACTTAGGACACGAACGAACTATTTCGTGGTTGGGCTTGCAGCTGCGGATATTCTGGTTGGTCTCTTATCGATTCCATTTTGGATCACAACAACGGTTTCAATTTGGCTTGAAAGTGTTTCTTGGAAGAAACGTTCCCTTTTATACCGAGCTTTTATCGCACTGGATGTTTTCTCTGGTATAGCGTCCATCCTCCATTTGTTATTGATAAGTTTGGAAAGATTGTACGCTATTGGCTGCCCTGTTAGGCATCGAGTATCCTCAACACGTTCCTACATTCTGGCAGCATCGTTATCCTGGTGTTTAACGCTTATTGTAACAGTTTTATTCGCTGCACAGAAACATTTTACTCATTTTCCTCGTTTTTTCGTGTTACTATTTTGCTTTCTCGTTCCTTTAATTATGATATGTTTTACTTATATCACGCTGTGGTTGCTTGTAAAGTTCCAGAAACATGATTCCAATTTTTGGAACCGCCACAAAGAGATAAAACTTAGCCTGACCATCTTCTTTGTTATTCTTCTGTTCATTGCTGCTTGGACGCCTTTCATGGTCATAAACATTGTCATGTTTTTTTGTAGACATTGTCTCATTCCCAACAAGGTGGCTTACGCTTCCAAGCTTCTGCATTACAGCAACTCAGCAGTAAACCCTCTGGTGTACGGATACAGGCTGCCTGAATTCAAAAGAGCCTTTAGAATTCTTATANAGTAATTACGACAATTGAAATGCAAATTTCTTGAAAAATGATGATAAAGACATATTCCCTGCCATTCGGTTATTTACCTTTTTAATAGGCCTCTTAGCTGCTCTTTACCAAGGCTAAGCAAGCTAGTTAATAAGATCTCTAAAGAACTTACTCCTTACGTTATTTCCATAGAATAAGAAGCGGTTGACAGTCAAGGCAGGAATATACGATGAACAAATCATCCCACTCTACCCAACTCATGAGTAAGGGCAGAACTTCAAATAACATGCAGTTAGCCGAACTGTTGGTATGGTGCTCGCTAAATGGTTTTGTGGCCATCCTAGCGGTTCTTGGTAACTCGTTCGTCATAGCAGCATTCATGCGTTTCAAAAAACTTAGGACACGAACGAACTATTTCGTGGTTGGGCTTGCAGCTGCGGATATTCTGGTTGGTCTCTTATCGATTCCATTTTGGATCACAACAATGGTTTCAATTTGGCTTGAAAGTGTTTCTTGGAAGAAACGTTCCCTTTTATACCGAGCTTTTATCGCACTGGATGTTTTCTCTGGTATAGCGTCCATCCTCCATTTGTTATTGATAAGTTTGGAAAGATTGTACGCTATTGGCTGCCCTGTTAGGCATCGAGTATCCTCAACACGTTCCTACATTCTGGCAGCATCGTTATCCTGGTGTTTAACGCTTATTGTAACAGTTTTATTCGCTGCACAGAAACATTTTACTCATTTTCCTCGTTTTTCCGTGTTACTATTTTGCTTTCTCGTTCCTTTAATTATGATATGTTTTACTTATATCACGCTGTGGTTGCTTGTAAAGTTCCAGAAACATGATTCCAATTTTTGGAACCGCCACAAAGAGATAAAACTTAGCCTGACCATCTTCTTTGTTATTCTTCTGTTCATTGCTGCTTGGACGCCTTTCATGGTCATAAACATTGTCATGTTTTTTTGTAGACATTGTCTCATTCCCAACAAGGTGGCTTACGCTTCCAAGCTTCTGCATTACAGCAACTCAGCAGTAAACCCTCTGGTGTACGGATACAGGCTGCCTGAATTCAAAAGAGCCTTTAGAATTCTTATAAAAAGCAGAAAAAAATTACGTTTTGCCTCCCTAAGCTTCAACCAGGGCAGTTTTGAAGTGAGGCAATTGTTCAAGCGACAAAGCAAGAGTTCGGTAAAGGCAACCCATAAACAGTTTGAAAGGATAACGGCCGTTTAATTGTAAGAACGGAAGTAATATTTAATGGTGAATCTTCAGAACACGTATGAGCCAAAAAGAAAAAACTGGCATTGGCGGTCTTATTTTGCATTTCCTTGGAGGTCGAATTTCTTTGTACGTTGAATCTAAGAAATATCGGTTTATTAAGTACTCAACCTTTTCCCCGCATAACTGATAGCTTGTAATAGGACTGATGGATTTGCTTTGACCAGATAGCAGGCCAGTTTTTATAACTTAATTTGGGGTTAATGGGAACTTAGCGTCGATTTTCTAAAATTACCGAGAGAAAGACTTTAGGTAACGATGAAATCATAACTCACTCAAAGCTGGAGAAAATGACGGTGGATATGATTTCAGGTGTTTGTGAAATAAACGAATCACTGCCTTGAACCATTAATAGCAAAACTAACAAAATACCATCGACGGACGATATCTTCTGTTTGAAGAATATCTGCTGAAATGTACTTATACCCGGATATCCTAAAATTTTCGAGGAACGGTCGGGCAATTATAGAGACGGGAACTATACCAGGGGCACCCAACGAGAATTTAGTTCATTCAAAACCACTTAAACATAGCATTGTTAACAACGGTAGATATAGACATACTTTTATCCCCTAAAAATTTTACATCTTTTCGGATTTCCTAGCTGAAAGTTTAATGATCCGAGAGTTATAGGGATCAAAAAATTTCAGCCAGAAAAAAGGCTCCCGAAAATTCTAGGCGACCTTTTAAGGGTAAAAATAGTTAAAAATAGGCAATTTCACCATTTTTTTAGATGTTCGAAAATCCCAGGAGAGGCAGGCAAGCAAGAAATTTTACAACAAATGTTCCGAAAGATCTCAAATCGTCTTCCGAACAGATATTTTCCGGAAAGTGACGTTGGGTGCCCCTGCTATACATAGACCAACGTAAGCTTCCTTTTACGTTAAAGGAATAATGAACAGTTATTAGCTTCGGCTTTCGTGCGATGTAAAGAATTATTCAGATTTCGGAGGGCGTTATCCGCATCTGCATAATTCTTTTTATTACAAACTGAGTCATTGGATAATGCACTTCTAGAGCTCTGATTGGCTAAGCCAATATGGTATATTTAGCCATTATTGAATGAGGCTGACTAGGATATGAAGAATTCTGCAGATGGAGGAGTTTGGATAACACCCTCCGAGATCTGCAGAATTATTCATATCCTACGAAAGCCGAATTCAATAATTGTTTTATTATTCCTTCAAAATAATTCCAAGTTTAAAAACAAGCTAAAACATGCTAATCTCGGTTGATGTAAGTTCATATCGATAATGCACCTTTATCGGGAAGTTTAGGAGATAAAGGTCTGCTCAGGTCTGCAAATATACTCCAAACAGCAAATAGCAGATGTTGTCCGTCGAGTTGTCTTCTTGCTGTTCTTGCGATGGTTTTAGACAATATTTTGCCGTGAAGCGAGTAAAATGTTCCGCGACAGTTCCGCCATTATGTTCTAACTACCAAAACAACACGACAACTCAACCTCGTCCACAGGTTTTCTCGGTCAACATTTCAATAACCTGCAACCAGGCTGCACTTTTGACGTCATTTTGACGTCATCGGTTTAATACGACAAAATTCATTCCAAATTTGGTCAACAGCAGCTGGTTATGGTGAATTATGCGAGTGTTTTTAACCAATCAGAAACGGGGAAATATTTTGAATGAATAATAAGAACCATTATACCATGCTCTCTAAATATGGTAACTGTACCTGTCTGCTCAAAATTAAAAACAAGCTGAAAATCCGTTGTTTTTAGAAATAAAGTCGGAAAGAATTCCCGATATTTTGTGGGCGTTTTTAACAAAAAAATTATTGCACTCGCGCTTCTTGGAAATGAGATGATTATAGCCAACTCATATCCAACGCGCACTCGTGGAATAATTGTTAAATAGAAGAGGTGTACGCTTGAAAATCAGACTCGTACTCAATCACTATTTATGTGTTGGGTACGAGTTTGCATGAAAATCGCTTTCCAACTTGCACAGATATACAACTATCTAGTTTGGAATGTTACGTTGGAGGTAACTGCCATAATGAGGGATATGAGGGCGATAAATAAAGTTAAAAACACAATTATCATTTATGAAAGTGATTTTGGCAATCAACAGTTACCAGCCACCAGCAAATTGCCTTCGATTAGGCGTAAGGCGTTGTTTTTGAATATCACACATAGGACATCAACTTGTCTTATCCTACGTATAATGTTTTGAATGCGGCTCAAGGACTTGTTTTCTGTTCGGAAACGTGAACGCAACGATGAAAAACTGCTCAGGCCTGCACCGCAACGGCTGCTACAAATATTGAGCTGACTATATATTTTATTAATGAAATTAGAAATGTAAATTGAAAGGCAGAGAAAAGAGCAAACTTGTCACCGGGGAAATTAATTAATATTAACGCCGGCATGGGTTTACAAGCGACATGGCCTTAGTTTTTCGCAGCTCGATAAAACTTTGGGTTTGAAATGGCTTGAACACGAGTCTGTCCAAATTCGCGGTCTGCACAGAACTCATCCTGCGGTTCCCGTGCCCTGCAATAGCAAAGAACAATCCGCATATCTGAGTATGTTGGTTTGAGTCTTATCTCAAATTCGATAAGTGTTTCAATTTTCTTCTTTCATTCTTTCACAAACTGTCCGAGAGACTTTGCATAAACTCTGATTTATTTGTCAGGTAAAATTTTAGTTCATTCTGAAATTAGACAATATCTTAACGCTCTGATCATACGGAATCACTAACCCTATGTCAATAAATTAAACTATACAATTATTCAAATAACAGTTATTATGTAAAAAATATACTTTCAACGCAAATTGAATTTATCACCAACAGCGTTAGCACCGGATTTCAATTTTGTTCTTTAAAAGTGAAAGGGAGCGAGAATGTTTACAGTTCATATCATTCAAGTGATTTGAAGCCCGCTGTCAGGTTGTTTGTTATGAAACTCGGATCAGCAGCTCATGCGACTGGACTGAGGGACAGGTGAAATCAAGCTCTTCAATGTTAAATGTCGACAAGCAACGTTCGTGTCATCTTATGAAACTCTTATCTTTTGAGTTTAGCGGATTACACCCAAAAGCGTTTCTTTGTGGAAAAAACCTTTGTAAGTGTGACATTTCTTGAAGAAGTCTTACTTATAGATGGCAAGATTTATTTTATGCATGTAAAGCTAATCCCATTTCATGTTCACAATCAATACAGTGGCTTTTGAATGCTTGATTTAATTGTGGAATATTTCTACTGGCTGCTGATTAAAAAGACACTTTACTGTGTTCTTTCTAAACAGTCGTATTATTTCCCTTCTTTCTTAGATCCCTTGCTGCTCTAAGTGTGCACGGCAAAGATTATTGCAGACTGATACCATCCCGGCGGCTCGCCGCAGTAGTGGTTTTAAGTCGGGCTAAGCTTGAAACCGACGTAGCTTTAGCCAGGTAGTATAGTTTACTGAAACTTCTGTTTGTTGACGCTACAATAACAGTTGGTCTTCATCACTACTGCAGGCAACGTAATACACGTGAAAAGCCCATAATTCCTAATGAATGTTCAGATCGGTAACCGATCAAAAGCCCAAAAGAACATAGTATATAGTTAGACTACAACAAAACAGAGTTCGTCCTGCAAACTGAACCTGAGTATCCAATGTTACAGCTTGTATTCGTCCGCTATTTCAAAGTACTAAATAGAAATCGCCTCGTATTATTTAACTGAGTAGGCTGAATTCAGAACGTTTAGAATCAAAGATAAAATTATTTTCAGCAAATTTATTCTACCAAAGAAATCCTCAATTGACTTTGATTAGCTGACAAAAAATGTTGCAGTTAAATCAACTATACCTGTAACCAATAACTGTGCCGCAGTGGATACATTCGCTGTCCCTTTCTTGAGCTCACGACTTAGGCTAATTTGTTTTGTTTCCAGAATAAGTACCCTGTATCTATTTCTAGTAGAAACTAAAATTCTTTTCAGTAGTTGAAAAAAATATAGACTCATTTGCTCTAGTTTGTCAGATTAGATAAAAAACAACGACAATGTTTGTGGAGTTTGGATCACAATTATCTTTCTTTGGCTATTATTTACAACCCCTTCTCTTACAAGTAGAAGAAGGTTAGTCACAAAATTCTGAATAACTTGCTTTGCTGTTGACAAGTAAATATTTTTTAAAACATGATAGATTTTTGTTTGAAACTGCTGATGATCACTTCTCATCATTGAATTTATCATAAAAATCGATCGCCGACTTAAGTTCTTCAGGTCGCGGCTGTTTCCTTAAAAAGTAGGCGTAATCCCTTTGGACTCGCCGAAAGTGCTATGTTTATATGTTTACAAAGAGCAATTTTTCCTATTCAGCCATTAAATATATTATTCTTAAGTTCTTTATCCTTGAAACCGGAATTTCCTTAAGCCTTTACCGGCCGTGGAGAAGAAAAATAATAAGCCTCGACAGCTGACCATGGCTGTTCTCTGTAGCAGTGTAGAAACGGTTAAAAATCAAAGGGCTGTCTGAGACATCTCTTATACACGGCGTGTTTCATCATCCCCCGTCAGTGTGTAAGTACTCCCTATTTCCAAATTCGGTTGCCACAGAAGAAAATAAATCCATGGAAAAATGTGCAATTCACATGGATTGTTAAAAGTACTTTGAAGATGTTGGAAACAGTAAAATGAGAAAAAAATTCAATTAATCGTAATGCAGTAAGAAAAAAGTTCTTTCTCTTTTAGTATGTCTAATCGGGATTTCCTAAGAAAATTTTTTGATGGTAAAAAGAGACAGTCGAAAAACACAAGTGGCTAAGTCTTTATAAAATCTTTGTGTTTTCATTACGGTGTTTTGACTCAGCGGAAAATTACCCTTAACTTTGAAATTTGTCACTCTTCGTAATTTTGTCAACTTTCTTCAATCTCGTAGGATTATTGCCGGAGGGCCTTTTTCGCACACAGCTGTATCTCTAGCTTTGTGATCTCTATGTGTCTTCAACCGAATGTACGGCTCGACGTACGCTACTAAAATTAAACTTTTTATAGTCCTCAGAGAACAAGGAAAAACATTTTCTATTTAGAAATATGATTGTGTTTATGGCAGCGTTTATAATATTTTTTTGTTTCGACTGACAGAGACAATGCAGGACGGCACAAGAAACTTGTCTAAACCAAGCACCTTGTCCGCTGCCGGCGACCCGTGGCTTACAGAGTTATCAACTGTGGAGCTTGTGGCTTGGTGCGTACCATGTGGTGTTGTTGCCCTTGCAGCCATATTTGGCAATACATTAGTTCTCGCCTCGTTCTTTCTTTCTACAAATATCCGTCATCAAGTGGTTATGTTTGTAGCTGGGTTGGCATTGGCCGATGTGCTTGTTGGCGCAGTTTCCATTCCGATGTGGATTTATACGTTGTTTCTGTCTTGGAAAACTAGAAGACCTGCCGAGGACATTTGGCTTACCCTAATTTATGACGCTCTTGATGTTTTTGCCGCGTTGAACTCGATTTTTCATTTGACCGCGATTAGCATCGAGAGGTTCTTTGCAACGGTTTATCCTTTCACTCATCGAAGCATTACAAAACGTCTTTACCGTGCCCTCATAATAGCGATTTGGATGACTTCTGCAATTGTTTCCTGTTCCTTCTTTCTTCCACTCGGAAAAGCATCTTTACAATTTCGCTTTTTTCTCCTAAATCTATTGTTTATTATCCCACTAATCATTATCTCTTTTAGCTACGCGAGAATTTGGCTCAAA